AGTTTTACATCTGTTTAGATGTTACACACACACACCCGGCCAGAGCCGGGTCAACCCTGAAAGGCAAGAGGAAGAAAAAAGCGGACACACGACGGGCAGACGGCCAAAAACAGCGCAGGGGGGGGAGGGGAACAGACGGACCTCCGGAACCAACCGACACGGCGAAACGGACCTGACCAAAACAGCGCACACACCTAAACCCCACGACACATTACGGAGAGGCACGCAGGGAAAATTAGGGACCAAATGGGGGACTAGTTGGTGACAGACAAGGAAACCAAAACAATTAGTTAAACAACAGGATTCAGCTCCTAAACCTAGGGTTCGTGCGTTATGCCACTCCAGGCCCGTGTTCCAGTCAGCCACAAGGGCATAAAACAGCTTTCAAGTTCCAACGAATTAGATGCACGATATGTTTGACCTCACCAGACAACCAAAAAGAAAAAAGACCACACCTGAAAGTCGTGTGCCTGCCTGTCGTTCATGTCATGTTTCAGGAAGTTCAGAACGGCTTCACTCCGATAGACAGGCATTTTGGCGAGGAACCCTGGGACCAACGGACCAGCGGGACAACCCTAAAAGGCTGGAAAACGGTAAGGCCAGCTGTTGCAATTTACTTAAATGAATTACCAAATTAAAATGTGTTAATTCGGAAGTCAGGACAGTCATCATTCACCCTGAAAAGGGTTGCCTCCAATGGCTCCATGGCACCATGTCGGAGCCACCATGGAAATCACACTAGACAAGAATGGATCATTATATGATCCGGCAGGAACTGAATCCTGAAACATGCAAACCAGCCTAGATCGTTAGATTAGTAAAGGAGCCATATGAGGTACTTCACGAAAACGATGTAGGGCATCCAATATTGTCAAACGTAGTCATAACCAGATTCCATAGAGTTTTGACCAGCATGTTGAGAATTCACAATAATGTTTCGGCGATTGTTTCCCAAAAGGACCCACAGTTCGTCGGCGACAGGATCTCGGCGAAAATAAGTCAAAAAACATAATACTGTCGGCGATATGGTTTCGGCGAAAATCTGAGGAAGGTTCTGATGCATGTAAATGTCAAAATTGATTCCAGATTGCGTCAACAGTGCAGTAAATTGAAATTCTCAAATAAACGACGTGGAGGTTCTTGGGTTGAGCCTCTTCCCATTCCAGAAAAATTGGCAGGTACGCATGGCTGATCAGGCCATGTATCACCAGGGAAACCAGAGCGTCTTCGTTGGTGGTAGACTCTGGACCCTGCTACCACCCCCTGCGTTATTTAGAAAGGGAGAGGACGGAAGGAAGAAAAAGAGAGAAGTTTTACATCTGTTTAGATGTTACACACACACACACGCACACTTACTTTCACTTTGACGGGGAATTCATCTCAAAAAGGTGACGTCATGTATGCTATGCTATTGAATATAGGATGCCACATTCATGGGCATGTTGCGTACAAAAGCCAAGACCAGTGAAAGGATACACGTTTATATATATGTTTTTCAGGTCTCCCAACAACAGCCCCGACCATGGTCCTCAGACAGATTGCTGCGATCTGCCTCGACCTGCTCCTGTCGGCGCGAAGTCTCCTGGTTCAACCGAAGCGTTTCAATACCTTAAATAAAAAATAGTCAAGTAGCACACTTCCTCGAATGTGTGTTTTTTGAAGAGACGCAATTCCCCAAACCCCAAACATTGGTTCAACCGCCATCTTTCCATGATACCTTTTGGACCAGATCATTTCATTTTGTTAACGTTCGCAATTCTTCACTCCCAAGTACTTCGGGCGGCAGCCGAGCCGAAATTACATCAACATGGTTCCCAGTTAGCATAAATGCCTGGAAACGCCGCGTTTTCTTTTGTGGCCCAATTGATGAGAAAGTGTTTCTCCAAAGATCAGCTGGCACCCACCACCCAGCGGCACCAGCTGCACCCATCATCCTGTTTACAAATTGGTATGGACCCACCTTGCACCTTGCATGGTCAACTTGCGCCTGGCGCTCTCTCCGTGGCACCCAGCACCCGGCAACCTGTCCCAAACCTCAACAGTTTCCTTGCAAAGATCTGTTGTCTTCTACTCCCCCCCATCTTGTTAGTGTTATCCCTCCATTGGTCCCCCGCCAATCTTTTGCGATGTCTTCCTTCCTCTCTAAATGCTCTCCCTGTTGCACTTAGCAGCTACCTGTCGACTAGGAGAAAGCGTCCTCAAACATCTTCATAGTTCCCCATACGCAGATACACTATAGCCGTTTTTCCTCTTGTTTCTCAGCCTCCGATTCTAGGAGATTAATCGTTAAATCTTTCTTTCTGACCTCTCCCATCTTCTATCACCAGCTCCCCCTTGATTCTACACACCCGCATTATTTTCCTCGCATTTAATCAACTATGCTTCCATATTGCCTTGAGAAAATGTTGCCACTTCATGTCATGACACTGCGTATTTGCGTCCAGCCACCCCAAGATTTCCAAGTTTGAAGCGAAAATTTGCAGTGCCCGGCCCAATTCGAGTTTGCCATCTTTGCTTACCCGGCCCCAAAAAAATAAAGCTTAGGGCCAGCCCCTGAATAGAAAAGCTGCCACATGTGGGCCGCAAGAAAATTCATTAAAAAAAATAAGTTTGCTGTGTGAGCGAGCAGCATCCAAAAACATGATAATAAATTGAATCAGGGATTCCATCCAAAAGCAACAGCCCCTACCATGTTCGCCCAGGCATTGAACTGATCTGCTGTTTTTGGCTGATCTGCGGTTGCGGTTGGCTTTGCTTAAGTGTCACGCAACTCGTGGCTTTATCCCGAGTTTTCAAAACGCTCACGGGAGGCGACAGTGATTTTCACCATGAAAGGTCCTTTGCCAACATCGTCTTGAACGTGGACCAAGGGACCTGAATCCAAGGGGTGGGCATTCATCCTTCAGCACAATCCCTGACACCAAAAAGGCGTTGCAAGCACGAACGCTAAGCACGCTGCACACAGGCTTTTCTGCTGCACCTGCAGCACAAGAAGAAGGAGCCGCCGTAGACCACCACCAAACCTACTTGAAACCCATGCAGCCCACACCATCCAGATGTGTTGTTGCTACGGCACTCAAATCACAACAAAGAGTGAAAGGGTTTTCCTCTCTGCTAACCATTGGAACTAGCTGCGCGTACCGCGCCCCAGCGCGGACGTGGCTCTCAAACAGGTGTGGTTGTGGCCCTTGAAGCTGAGAGCTGAAAACAGAAACAACAAGCATTTATTCATGACATTTATGGTCCCTTTAGTGGTGGTTGAATATAAACAAACTCGTGGCTAACTTTAACTGATGGGTCACGGTCACAGGCCTGTAAGGGATCTAGGAGCAATTCTCTTTCACGCCCCAATGCATGTTGACTCCTTGCGTCCCAATACCAATGACTTGCAGCGTATAAATCCTTTCTCGATCAAGCAACCTTGTATCTGGACTATCTATCACATGTAACTTTAGCTGCCATCCGAAGTTCAGCCACTATACTGGGAGCTGTCAAGAAGATCGCAGGCTCAGCTCATGTTCACGAGTGAGCGGCAATGGAAACGAGACTTTCCTGGGCATAGTTGAAGTCTGGGAAGGTCATTTCACAGGGTGCATTGTGGATATGATGCATTGTATATAGCTCGGACGGCTTCTGAGTGACCCGCACACGGCGTGAGCAGTGCGGCGCGCCACTGTTCGGGTCCAGCTGCTTCGTGCAGCAACGAGGAGGGGTGGGTGGCGTCCATCCACCCGCCATCGGAAGTACTCCACAGGCATGGGCCCGAGGTGTCCTAACTAGTGTGGATTGTAATGGGTCTTTGACATTACAAAAGCCGTATTGCAGCCTCTTGTGGCAAGAGCCGTAGCCCAAAGAGCCACGGTGAGGTACACAGTTTTGTTTGTCAGGCGGGTGCTGACAAGCACATTCGCTTAGCGAACAAAAACGGGAAAAACGCCTTGATGGCGCAGCCCGGAGGCTCAGGTCTCACACCAAGAAGAGCTGAGTGGCCCATCCACAACAACGATGCACCAGGTGGGCGTCAGGCCACCAGCCCTGTCGACTCAGTCCTTCCAGATCTTTCGTGCTGTGAACTGCGAACACACCACAACAAGGTCGCAGTTAAAGGCTCCATGTAGGAATGGAAGCCAGTAGCCCGGCGAAGCGGTGTCCAATCCCATCTCTTTCCATCCAGCGTTGCTCGAGAACCTGGCTCGGCCAGCTGAATGACAGACAATGTGTATGGCTAAGCCCAAACTCTCCTGAGGTTCAAGAAGACCAGAACACCTGTTTTGTTGGCCGGCCATCCAAAATCATCCAAGCTCAAGCACTGTTGCCAGGCTACCCGTCAGCCGAGTCATCCAAAGCTGCTCGATAACAGCCATGATCCAAACCAGGACAGGAGATTCATTCCATTACGGCCGCAGGTCACGAAGCTGGGTGAAGCAGTGTCTGGTCCCATCTCTTTCCGCCCTTGGGGGCTATCAAGCACATGCCATCCCAGAGCCAAGCCGATGATGGGACACCAGGTAGATGAGAAAAACTGGCTCGGGTCAGTCCGCGGAGCCTACCATGTAGAGCCGCCATCACAGCGTAGTCAGATCAGAGTTTCCAAGCCCTTAGCTGGCAAGTAGTCAAAGTATGTAAGATTGACGGCAAATCTGGGCGCCTGAAACTGACAGCAGGGCACCACTGGAGAAACGGCACCCCGAACAAGTGCAGCGAACACACAATGATAGCCACAAAGGCTTCCATGGCTGATGTGAAACGAGCTCCCAAACTTCTGCCGACACGGGTCCACCAGCTGGTAGGCTTGGGGCCGAGACCTGATGCATTGTATATAAAAACACCAAAGAACATAAAAGAATTGCGTCATATGCGTATGCCTTATAAACCATGTTTTCAATGCTGCCAAGCCGCTACGGCCATGAAAGCGATCTTTTGACCTAGCAGTGCAAAATGTGCGCATTTTTGTGATTTTCCATATGTAGTAGGCCTCCTCCGGCACTTCCGTGAAGTGTATGAAGGTGTTAAGCAAAGGGACCTCCAAGCGACTAAAATGGAAAATGAATTGATGTTCCATCATTGTCATTGAAACGCTTAAATGTACTTGAGATACAGTTCATATATATATATATTTATAATACAATTCCCAAGCGGTCACGAGGACTGGCTCAACTGCTCGGTCGAGCGCGCGTTAGCGGAAAGGCTGGCTCGAGGACTTCGACCCAAAAACGGGGAAGCACAACTCACAACAGGGTGTTTCAACGGGGAGACACAACGGGGAACCACAACGGGGAAGCACAATGAGAACAACGGGGAATACCAGGAAAGTAGCTACAAAAAGTGAAAAATGAAAAGATGCAAAAGTAAGATTTGTATTCATAAATTGTTTCCAAACATTGGTTTAAAACCTTCAGTGATTCATTTTGAAGAGCTTTAAATGCATTAGAAAGTTTTTCTTTGGCAATTTTTTTTGGGTGTCGAAAATCGAATTTTGAACCTCAAATTGACTCAAATATGGGTTTTAAAACTTGCAGGGACTCCATACGGACCATTCTAAGTCCAAAAGAAAGAGGAAAAAAAAAGTTTTTTTTATATTTCGAACCCCTAGATTCAAGAGCTGATTTTCTTCATTTTTACATGGGTTTTCTTCATTGTTGCACTATCGAATTGATCCTTTAGTTATCCTCTTTATGGTTTTGATTTTCTTTCAATAACGGGGCAGTAAGCAGATTCTTACTGATGCACCTATTTCTGCATATTATTTTTTGTTTTTTCTCGTTTTTATTTCATCATGACTCAGTTTTGTTCAGTACATATACATGCGAAAAATAATGAAAAAGACATTTTCATCACAGTTCATCACGATTTTCATCATTTTTCATTATTTGGTGAATGTTTTGAACAAATTTTCATCATATTTCATCATGGTTTTCATGTGTATATATATACATAATTATGCATATATAGTTGCTCATTATTTTTTCATTGCCTTTTATTAGTTTCATCACATGTCATCATGTTTTCATAGTTATTCATTATTTCGTCATTGTTTTTAACAGTTTTCATCACATGTCATCATGTTTTTTTCGTCATGGTTCTCATCATTTCAAGGATGTTTTGTACAGACAAACAAATATGTGGTGCAGTAAGAAGATTCTTCGTTTTACCTAATGTACAGCATTTTCATTTTCTGCTTACTAGGTGTGTATATTTATAGATATGTTTCAGAAAAGTGGGGAAAATGCGTTTTAGCGCCGTCAGTAAGCAGATTTTTACTGCTTACCGGTGTTCCTTGACTATACTTGTTTGAAGAACTAATATGAGTCCTCAATCAACCCACTATAGATATATCTCCCGGTCAGGTCCCCGAGACGCCCGAGAAGGAGCCCGAAAAACCACAAGCCACCGTGACTCGGTGGTTGAAGCAACGACAATGGTGGGTTTATCGAGGGAAAATGTTGGTTTTACCGAGCGAAATTGTGATTTAACCCACAAACGTTTGGTTTTATCCAGCCAAAATGGGGATTTCGGTTGAATGAGGCTGTTGGGAATAAAAGAAATTGAGTTTAACTAAACATATCTGATGGTTTACCCATCAAACATGGTTTTATTCAGTAAGAATCTCGATGGGTTGGGGAAACCTTGGTGGAGTTCATGGAAGGCGGATGGATCCCCAATTTTGTTGGTTACGTTTCCGTTTCATGTTGCTCCAATCCTTTTGTATTTGGCTTGGCAAAAGTTGATCGTGGCTGTTCCTTCCGCTATACCACACTTAAACAGGAGTGTTTAGGAAATCGTCCAATTTTGCAAGGCAAAACATCCTTCGGGTCGTATCACTTGCCGCCTGCCCCCAAAGGCCGAGCCGCGTCACGAAGAGCCCAAGGAGGCGCCATGATGAATAAACTGTTAGTAACATGGTTGATGAATTAAGGGATCCCCTAAATAAATTGGCTTCATTATTAGATTTATAAGTAATAATCCCATTTAGAAACATATCCCCATTAGTAACATGAATAAACCCTGGTTGATGAATTTGGGGATCTCCTAAAGCAGTGATAATTGGTTGGCTACTGAGACACCCACAATCAAGCAGCCTAGTGGTTGATTCATCCGGCGTATTCCGGGCTTGACATTAGTATGGGCAGAATCTGATAGACATGAGTGATAAGTATCTATAAGTAGCCATAAGTATCAGAGATGTATCAGAGATATGATGGGGATGTGATCTCTTATTTCATGGTACAATGGGTTTTGATGGGGATGTAATAAAATCCCATGATGTGACTGGTATACAACTTCATGGTTATCATGGATATTCCAGAGAGAATGGTGATATCACCAATAAGATGGTGATGTTTTATGAAATATGATGGGTGCATAATGGAGATATATTGGGTTGAATTAAGGGAAACAAGCATCGCTAGTTGGCAGTTTCAAAGATGTTTTTCAAGCCTATGACTGCGATGATGATCCCAACTGACAAGCATGTTTTTCGAGGGCTCAACCAGCAAGTAAGCATAGTTTGCCAAAAAAAAACTTGGAAAACTGCACGGCAATGCCCAACAACTTGTCCTTCCACCCCTTAAAATGTCCCATTAAAACAGATTAGAATCTCCATGCGAAATCCTTAAAGTTCCATTTTAAAACCTGCCCGCTCCTCTGAGGCCACTGCGCCGCCGGTGGAGGAGAGAACACCTACGGAGCCGTCCAAGGAATTGCCAAATGCAGCTGGGATGAAACCGGAACCCGGATGGAACCACGGAACCACAGGGGTTCTATGCCGTTTTTTTTGGTGCTGGATGTTTCATGGTGTTCTGCAATTGGTTTTTTGGGGGGTTATATGGTGCTTGGATATCATGTTGGCAGTTTTTTGTCATAAACTACTTGGGCTTAAGTAGCATGGGGATATCTGGTTCATGTATGTTCATGTTTCTTTTGGTGGATTTGGGGTTTCAGAAACCGCCATGTTTGGTGGAATGCTGGATCAAATGCTGCTACATAATGGGAAACCAGATTCTTTGGGACTCATCATTGGACCTGCAAAAGGCAATCCACCTGTTTAAAAGCGACTCAAAAAGCTGAACCACCGGATTCTGGCGATGGCATGGAGATTTTGACTGCCTTTTGATGATCCAACAGGCCCCGGTGATAGCAACGGCACCCTTTGTACAGCTGATGCACTGAGGCCAAGTACTCACCAGATATGGTCTTGGAATGCGTCGGTGCTGTGCTGATGCGCTGGGAACCCCGGGAACCCCAGAAGGCCGCAGTTGAGAAGCGCAGATCAGCGCAGCTCGTTTTGGTTGATGATGACGAGGCTGGATCATGAATGAGAACATATAGATTAGATATATTCTATACCCTAAACTTTGGAATAGAACATTTAGAACATATTGTTTAAACAGATGCTTGCCATGAATCTGGATGAACAGACGAGAACAGATGAGAACCGAGCTCGTCGCCAAGGACAGCAAGAGGACTTGGAAAGCCCACAGGTGGCCCGACTGGCTGCTGGATCCCTGGTCAAGGTGCAGCACCTGAGGGCGGCGCTTAGGGGTCCTAGACCATGACCCCCGTTCAGATTGTGATGGTGATACATATTTTTTACAAGAATGTTAAGGAGATCAAGTAGATTTTAATGGGATATCATAGGATTTCAATGGAAGAATTTCATCATCAGATTAAAGACCCCAAGCTCTTTGGTCATCAAATTTGGTTTCATCCCCATGGTTGATATTTTGGGAGGGCTGAACTGCCACAATGTTCATCATGTGTGTGTCTGAGGCAAATCCTTCAAAACTGCGATGAAATATGGGAAAAAAAAGACTGATCAACCATCAACTTTTGACATCACCGGTTTTACAATTGACCCCTAATCATATCAAGTTGGTTGTGTCATATCCCACTAGTTCCCATTTATTCCAAGTATACCCCCATTACGTCCCCATATGTTGGCTGGCAATATCCCATTGTATGCCCATCCCCTTACGTCCCCATATTATCATCATTATCACCATCAACGTTTCAAAAAAACACGATAACAATTGTCACCGCAACATTCATGATGATGATGATCATCATCATCATCATCACCACCCCCACTATGCACCCAATATATGGCCATCCTCAGCTCATCCACCAGCCATCTCCAGGTCGTAGAGCTTGGCTCTGGTCCCAGTGGCAAGCGCATCAAGATCCTTGCAGCCAGCAGTGAGGAAGGCCGAAGCTGGCACGATCTGATCGCTCAGTCATGGGGATAGGTACCCTCAGATGGTCAATGGATGTTTATTCCTCGAAATATGGTGATTATAGGTTGAAACACCCATCCCCATATAACCAACCAAAATATACGACATAATCTGGGGGATGAGATGGAAAATAGAAGACCAATGAATGGGCGCACAATGGGATAGAACCAACCAAAATGCGACGTGGAATGCAGATAGTTTCAAATCGGAATAACTTGAACGAACGGGATACATAACCAACAACATGACATCTGTTTTTCTGAAAAAAGGGATGATATAGGGATGATATACCTCAAACATTGCAAGTTTAGTACCAAAATTGGGGTCCATCATTTTTGGTATGTGATCCTGTGTGTGGAATGGCCATGGAGGCTTGCCAACCAAGACTAGTCGAAGGAAGTTTAGAAGTCAAACTTCCGACAATATGGACAGATGAAAAGCAGAGCAGGGAAGAGGCAGAGATAAGAGAAAGATTAGAAGAGAGAAGATCAGAGAAGAGAAAGAGTCAGAAGAAAGAAGATGCAGATGCGCGAAAAGGTAGGCTCCGGAGGATCGAAAAGTAGGCTCGCTATAGCGGCGGGTGCGGAGCCAGCTGGCCAGATGAGAGATGAAAAATTGCATGCCGTTGTGGCGCGAAGCACATGTGCAAGCCAAAATGTACAAAACACAAGGGGTGCGGACCACTTTTGGCAGTTGAGATGTCGAAAAAGTGCACGCCGTTGTGGCGCGAAGCACATTTCCAAGTCAAAATGTACAAAACACTAGGGGTGCGGACCACTTTTGGCAGTTGAGATGTCGAAAAAGTGCACGCGAAGCACACTTCGAAGTCAAAACGTACAAAACACCACATGTTCGCGCCACTTTTGGAGTTCAGATGTCGAAAAAGTGCACGCCGTTGTGGTGCGAAGCACATTTCGAAGTCAAAATGTTAAAAACACCAGGGTTTCGGACCACTTTTGGAGGTTCAGATGTCGCTTCGCTTCACTACACTACATTACACAACACTACAACTACAACTACACAACTACACTCCACTACACTCACTACACGCCAC